TTCTAATCCAGATAAAATAAATAATCAACAAACTTTGCAGTCTCGTAACCTTGCATTACTCACAATACACATGGTATTCCAATTAACATACGCAGTGTACAGTTAAACAAACAAAGCATTCCATTAAACGATAAACCTTTCACTCCACTAATCAAGCAGATGCCTTAATGTTCCAACAAAAGTCTCAGCTCTTATCCCAGATAATCAGGCTTTGAGAACAATCAGTAAATTTGAACAAGCGTGAAAACAATGTAACAATTAACTGAATTTCTGAGGATTCAGTTTCTTCTGAGAAATACGAGTGAAAACCCTAATTCTGGATTGTCTGCTAAAGAAAAGTCTGTTTGATTGATTCTTGAGCTAATCTTAAAAATCAGAGAAAACCCTGGGATTGTAATGTTCTTGTGAAAAAGGGAGGGCAAATTTTGGGGTACAACACATATGAGTTCTAAGAATCTGGTACATGGGATTTTGAAGATTGTGAAGCCTGAGGAGTTATGTGAGGTATGCATGAAGGCAAGCAACGCAAATTTCCATTTGAGTCAGAATTATCCCTAAGAGCATCGAATGCTCTAGATGTAATGCATTCTGTTGTATGTGGACCATTTCCAGTACACTCACTTGGAGGAAACAAGTATTTTGTGTAGTTTGTGTATGCTTTCATAAGAATGACATGGGTATCACTCATCAAGTTTAAGCATGAGGTGTTTACTGAGTTCTAGAAGTTCAAGCTAAAGGATGAGAAATAGAGTGATCAGAAATTGAAAGTTTTCAGAACTGACGCTTGAGGTGAGTATAACTCTATAGAGTTCTAAAAGTTCTATGAGGAGAATATAATTGTGCATGCATTTATTTCTCCATACACTCCTCAACACAATGGTGTTGTTGAAAGAAGAAATAGAACTTTGCTTGATATGACAAGAAGCATGCTGAAGGAGAAGAATATGCCTCACACCTTGTGGGGAGAAGCTGTTTCAATTTCAACGTATGTGCTCAACAGGTGTCCAACGAAGAAGGTGAAGGAAACTATTCCTTTAGAGAAGTGGACTGGATACAAGAAAAGTGTGAATCATTTCGAGGTATTTGGTTAAGTTTATAATAAATATGTTCCAGATGCTGAGAAAGAAGTTGTATGATATAAACAAAGTAATATTACTGATTGGATACTACATTATAGGTGCCTACAAGATTTATTGTCCAATCACTAATAAAATTGAAGTTAGTAGAGACATCATTGTGAAGGAGTCAGAAGCATGGGATTGGAGCAAGTCTTAATCCAACTCTGGTGTAGTGTTAACCCATGAGGTAACTTTTGAAGATAGTTCAAAATTTGAAGGTTCTGAAGATGATTCACATTCAGAAGGAGACTCTGAAGACGAGTCAGAGTCAGAAGGTGAATCTGATTTTGATTTTGATTATGATAATGATCCAGAATCTGGTGGTCGAAACTCTAGGGGTAATGTTTCTAAAGGCGGACCTTCTGAAGAAGGAGCTTCTGGAGGTGGTCCAACTTTTGGAGGTAGTGCAACATCCGATATTGTTCCGGAATTGGAAGAAGATATTGAACATGTCCAAAAGACACATAGAATCAGACAAATACCAAGGAGATTTGCAGAGTTTGACATGTTGCAAGATACTAAAGTAGAATCTGAGGGATAAGTCGTTTAGTGTGCCTTGTTAGGAGACTTTGAACCAGACAATGTTGAAGAAGCTCTTAAGAAGAAATTGTGGCTAAAAGCCATGAAAGAAGAACTTGAGGCTATAGAAAGAAATTAGACTTGGGAGTTGACTAAGATTTCAAAGGAGAAGAAAGCCATCAGCATCAGATGGATTTTCAAGATAAAGTTGAAGCCAGATGGATCAATTGGAAAACACAAAGAAAGGTTAGTAGCTAGAGGATTTTTACAGAAATCTGAACTAGATTACTTTAAAGTGTTTGCACCTGTAGCTAGACACAAAACAATTAGATTGGTGATTGCTATAAATGCTAATAGAAATTGGCATCTAATGCATCTGATGTGAAATATGCATTTACGAATGGTCCATTACAAGAAGAGGTATATGTGTCACAACCTCATAGATTTTTGAAAAATAATCAGGAAGGGATGGTTTACATAAAGTATTGTATGGACTGAAACAAGCTCTTAGAGCTTGGAATCTGAAAATTGATTAATTTTTTAAACTGTAGGGATTCAAAAAGTGTGAGATGGAGTATGATGTTTATGTGCAACATACTTCTGGAAGCAATATGATTCTGGTGTATCTCTATGTTGATGAGATATTACTAATAGAGAGTTTTCCAGAAGAGATAGTCAAGTTCAAGAAGGCTCTGATGAATCAGTTTGAGATGAATGATCTTGGAAATATGGTATATTTTCTAGGGATGGAGATTTTGTACTCTAAGAAGGGGATAATTTTGCATCAACAAAAGTATGAGCTAAAGCTTCTGAAGAGATTTGAGTTAACAAATTTCAAGACTGCAATCACACCTGTTGAGACGAATCACAAGTTGGATTCTAATGTTGAGGGTGATGTTGTAGATGCTACAACTTATAAACAATTGGTTGGTTTATTGAGACTTCTGTATAACACCAGACTTGCTATTTGTTATGCGGTAGGAATGATGAATAGGTTTATGAACAATCCAAAGGTGTCATATTACCAAGCCGCTATCAGAATATTGAGGTACATTAAAGGGACTCTGGGATATGGAGTGTTGTTCTCTTCTGGTGTTAGAACTAACACATAACTGATATGTTATTCAGACTCTGATCGGTGTGGAGACAAAATTGACAGAAGAAGTACTTCTGTATATTTTTAAGTATTTGTGAAGTCTCATTTCTTGGTGCTCAATGAAGAAAACTATGGTTGTGTTGCCAACTTGTGAAGCTGAATATACTATGGGGGCTTTGACCGCGTATCAAGTTGTTTGGCTGATGAATTTTTTGCAGGATTTAAAGATCAAGGTGAGCAAACCTGTGAAATTGATGACTGACAACCAATTAGCTATAAGCCTTGCCAAGAATCTAGTGCTACATGGAAGAAGCAAACACATTGACACGAAGTTCCATTTTTTGAGAAGTTAAATCCTGAATGGAGTGCTAGAAGTTGCACATTGTAGCACCCAGAAGCAACTTTTAGAAGTTCTCACTAAAGTTGTCAAGCCTGAACATTTTATCCGCTTGAGAAATGAAATTGGTGTTGTAGAGTTTAATTAGCTGAATATGAATAAAGCAATTCTGTTAGAACACTCATAAACTGTTGTTAGAGTCGAAAGCTTTTGGGTCTGTTAGTCAGAAGTAGTAGTTTCTGAGGGTGTTAGCTAGAAGTTGTAAGCTTCTGAGACTATTCCCCCCCAAAAGCAGTAGTTAGATATTTTTTCTAGAAGCTATTCTTAGTTGTTAGCTTGGTTATTAAGCATATTTATGTTTGTGTCTATATGGTCGTTTGTTTTGTGTATTTAAACAAGTTTGTAGTTAGGATTTTTGTAAGAAAATTAATAAGATTTTTATAATAGAGATTTTTTTCAACAAATTTATTGTAACCGTTTTTCTCTCTTCTCTTTCTCTTTTTTCTTCCATCTTCATCTTCATCTTTAACCTTATTCACTAACAATATTATAATGAAAAACCAAATCAAACATTTGGTATAATATTTATAAAAATAGAATTTTATTTTTAGAACTTGAACATATATTTCCTAACTTTATCTTATTTTATCTCTTTTCACTTTTTAAATTTGAGTTTTAGGATTTTCTTAAATGAGGCTTTTTTTTTTTTACATTTTAAAAAATATTATAATATATATTTGATAATATTATTTTTTAAAAATGTTTTTGAGATAAAAAATGAAAGCAAGACTTGTTTAATATATTTATTTTTAAAATATATTTTAAAATTAAAAAGAAAAAAATATTTTATACATATTTAAGTAAGACAGTAAAGCACAAAGTTAATATCTACAGTCAAGCCAATGATTATTGAAAAAACCAATGCCAACAACATTAATATACTTAGCTTTGTGCTTCACTTTCTTACTTGAATAGCTCTACCATGACTCAAATATGACATGTTAGTTTTTCAGGTTGAGATCAAGCCACCATCAGTGTCATTATCATTGGATTTGGAATGTGAATTGAGAAACTTGGCTACCGTTATCGACATAGTTTATGGCGGCTTAAATGAGTGGAGTTCTTAAAATTAGAGACGACAGTGTTTGTCATAGTTTAATATGTCATTTCTGTCTTACTTGAGTAAATCCAAGTTGGACATCATCGTTGATTTTTTAGTTTTAGAAAAAAGTTGTGTTAATATTCGTGAAATTCACGAAATATCTTTTCGCTCTATATAGCCGCGCTCTTATTCTTCATGTTATAGGTTTCTATATTTTGCTCAACTTATTTAATTTCAATATCTTATGATAATAAAATCAAATTTATGTTGTGATTAATGATCACAGCGCAATTGATAACGCAATACCATAACAATTAAATTTGCAAAATCTTTAACTAGATTTTGACCGATATTAATTATATCATTTTTGTATAGGATTGTATTTAAACTAGAACATTATTGTTTTTTACTTACCAAACAACAAATGAAGTTCTCCTTTTTATGTTTTTATGGTCTGTCTTTTTGTCAAAAGGATCAAAACCCATAGAAAGGTTGGTTTTCAAGTTGCAAATTAAGGATCATTAGAGTCTGCTAGAGGGATTAAAGAAGATCCAAATCTCAGTACTTTTATTTATAACCATAATAATATGCACCATAATACAAACTTATCACATAATAAAACATATCAATACTCAACATGACATATATACCCATAAAGAGGCACTATCCTACCCATAATAAAGGTTACATAGTTATAATATGATACGTAAAACACTCTCACTCACACAACAAAACACTCTCACACTCACACAAAACACAATCTTATTCTATTATTTTAGACATATAGATATATCAATAAAACACAAGATATGCATGACTACAATATCACTAATCATGGATATCACTCTCAAGTTTAGGAGCAACCCTGCCTTTAGGTGCCACATTTGTGCGACCGATAGAAGAACAAAACTTATTATGCACAGGCCAAAGGTAAGGAGTTTTCAAGCACATTCCATGCAAAATCATACAATCTATACACTTCCAAGACTTTTGAGATTTGAAATTACCATCATCTTTCTTTGGTGGACTCCCTCTTCCTTCACCCTCAACACTATCACCATTCAAAAGTATTGCCACAAGAAGGAGAACTAGAACAAGTGAAGTAGTGGTTTTTCTCATAGTGTATATATGAATGAGTATTTTAGTTTCTATTGTTTTGCATGGAGTGAAATTGGCTTCAAACCATTCCAATTTATAGAACTATTGATTCCATCAAATGAAAAGTGAAACTATGTAATCATGTGGTGTGGGGTCATGCTGGTAAGTATTATTAATTTGTCATTTCTTTTTATGATTGTAGTTTAAGGTTTACTAGATCATTAAATGAACAAAATAAAATGAATAAATAGTATCAATTAAGGTAAATGATGATACATAAGTGGTAACAAATGAAATATTTGAATAGTGACTTCTGTGCCATTAATTTATGCATTTGTCATTATTTATCATACGAAGTCTGCATACCTCCAACACACAACGACCACATCCACGTGTTTCTTTCTTTTATCATATGGCAGTGTGTAAGAGTAATTGAGATGACTGTAGAACTAGTATCATGAAATTGAAATATTTTCAAGAAAATATACTATTACCAACAATGACGTTTCACAATAAACTACAGTATTACATTAAACTATTTTTTAATTTCAAATAGTTTTGAAAAATGATTAAGTCTCCTAATAAATTATTTTTTATAAGTAAATTAAACTATATACTATGAAGTTTCAGGGATTAAAACAAATTTATTTTAATTTTTTTATAAACACTTGTATTAAATAACCCTAATACAAAAAAAAAACGAAAAGAATAAACTAAATTAAATCATTTGTCGAATATTTGGTGTGTGATCAAATTTTCAGAATTTTTCTTTGAGTTGTGTTGATGTAAAAAAGTATTTATAATCAAAAGTGATTATAAGACGATCAACACTCAATTAAAAAAAGCAGTTACAAAAAAATTCTTACGAATCGATAGATTACTCAATGTTATTTGACAAATTGATTAATGAAAATTAAAGCAAGTAAAAATGATAAGGAAAAGAGACACGAGGATTTGTTGAGGAAGTTTACCAATCTTTCTAACTATGACTATGTCTCTCCCCAATTCCAATTTTGGAATTAGGATAATTTCTTACTATGCAAACATTCGTTACAAGAGAAGTGTTCCAAGAGTAACCCTATAAACCCTAACCGTTTATTGTTGATTCAACCTCTTCTCTTCTTTTGATCTTGAGAAATACCAAGACACAATAGCTACCAATTAATTTATCGAATCTTGTTACTCCTTTGTGTTATTTATCACCAAAGCTTTTGTGCACGATCAATTGTACCTATTGCAAACAAGACACTTCAATTCGATTTTCCGTTCTCGCGCTACTTTTTTTGTGTTTTTTATTTCCAAAGATCATTTGCATTCTTTATCTCCAAAAACTTTCACTAGGCTACAATCCTCTCTTGAATGTCTAGCACGAAAACCCCAAATCTATCAACGATCTTGGAGGACAAACCTATAGTTTTTCTAGATAAAATCCCCTATAAATCTCAACTCAATATTCTCGTCTACACAAGAACCTAATTCGACGTTATCAAACCTCACCTAGATGGCACCCCCGACAAAAGATGATTATGTGTGATTTATCAGTGTGTATGCATAGGTTGGAGGTTGAAGATGAAGAGAAAATGCAGTATGTGTTTATAGTTTCATCAAGTTGGAATGATGCATGAATGATGTATTTATAGTTGTTGAAGTTTAGATGCGAAAAGGTAATTTTTAGAATTAAAAAGAATTGAAAAGCTGACCCAATTAAATCGTATGTGTCGACACATAAGATAAATTTTAAATGTATGTGCCGACCTGAAAAACAAATGTGTCGGTCTAAGTATGACAATAACGTTTTGCTTTAAAAACTGCAGTGCATGTGGCGGCTCGAAATTCGTATGTGTCGACACATAGTATAAGAAATTATTCAATTTCTGAATGCTTCAGTATGTGTCGACCTGTATGCATGTATGTGTCGGCCTAAGCCCTCTAAAGGCTACAGACTTCAAAATCGAGTTGCATGTGCCGACCTGAAACACGTATGTTTCGGCACATGTAAGAAACAAGTATGCAAAAACTTGTTTTTCAAGACTTTGGTCAATTTCAAAATGGTTTTTAATAGTTTATAAGACCCCTAACGCAAAGGAGTACCACAAGACATAGAGAAATTGTTCAATATACAGAAATGCTAAACTTTCCTAGTTTTGACATCATGCAAAACATGTAATGGTAAAGTTGTACTCACATACTCCCCCTCTTTTCGATTAAACAAAACTTGCAACAATGTATTTCATGTAGTTATCGAAGGCTCCCCCTGACTTTGTGCTTCGAAATTTCATCTCGCATATGCTTCTCCCCTTTGACAACATCAAAAAGAAAGATAGAAAATCGTGAAAAGTATCATGTTCCAATACAAAATACTAATATATCACTCAGAGGCGTTTTTGCATAGAAGAGCAACAATCAAATATATATATATATATATATATATATATATATATATATATATATATATATATATATATATATATATATATATATATATATATATATATATATATATATATATATATATATATATATATATATATATATATATATATATATATATATATATATATATATATATATATATATATATATATATATATATATATAGAAAGATGCAAAATTGATAAATAACGCGCAAACAACATTACAACATATGTAATACAAAGCAAGATGAATAATGAATGCGATGTAAGAGCAAATTTTTCAAGTTGCTTATATAGTGTCACAATTTCGTAACACACTATAATGGATCTCTTGATGTCGCATACACATGTGCCTAGCATAGAGACAAGAATATGTCACTACTCAATCCAAAATTAAAATATTTGTCATGACATGTGACCAACTACAATAAGAAACATATAAGCAATTAACACGAATACAATTAAGTCAAGCACGAATGCAAGAAATAAACTTAAGAAAAACACATGTTTGCACAACAAGAACAAACTTATGAAAATGTGAAAGAATTAATACATTAAGTCATTTTAAACATATACATTGAAAACACACAACAATTGTCAATAAAAAATTTTCAAAATGAACATTCATGATTTTTATCATTTGAGAAAATATCAAGCATTTTTAATCAACAAATAACACATATTAAGACAAGTCTTACTTTCAAGGAGAAATTTGAAACAATATTACCTCACTCTTCATGAAACCAAAGTTGCACTCACAAGATGTAAAATACTCAAACAAAGAGTTAGAGTAAAAGTATAAAGTGCAAGAAACAAAACAAAATTAAGAAACACTAGAGATATCAATGATCTCCAATTCCACACGTTTGTTAAAAAAGGTTCGGTTGCAAGAGATTTAATGAAAATATCAGCAAGTTGATTTTTAACATGCTCGAATAAAACATCCCTTTTTCCACATGATCACGAAGGAAATAGTGACGTATCTCAATATGTTTAGTGCGAGAATGTAGCATCAGATTCTTGGTTAGATTAATGGCGATAGTGTTATCACACATGATAGGAATACATGATAGTTTAATGTCAAAATCAAGTAATTGTTGCTTAAGCCATAAGATTTAGGCACAACAACTACCGGCAGCCACAAATTCCTCCACGATCATTGACAAAGCTAAGGACACTTGATTTTTACTATGCCAACTAACCAAGGGTTTTGATAACATGTGACAAGTTCCACTAGTACTTTTCCTATCCGATTTGCAACCAGAAAAAATCAGAATTGGAGTAACCAACCAAGCTACAATCGCTTCCCTTGGAATACCAAAGCCTAAACTTAGAAGTACCAATAAGGTATCTAAGAATATTGTTAACTGCTTTTAAGTACGATTCCTTGGGAGCCGATTAGTATCTGGCACACATACAAATGCTAAACATAATATCAGGCCTAAATGCCGTAATATATTGAAGAGATCCAATCATACCTCTATATTTCTTGACCTCAACATCTTTACCCTTTTCGTCTCTATCCAAGTTGCCACTTGTTGCCATAGGTGTGTCAATTTCCTTTGCACCATCCATTCCGAATTGTTTCAGTAATTCGAGACAATATTTGGTTTGACATACAAAGGTTCCTTCTTTGAGTTGCTTAATTTGGAGTCAGAAAAAGTAGTTCAAAAGTGTCATCTATACGAACCTATCTATTTGAAGTAAGATATGCAAATATAAATAAATTTATGGAATGAACAACACAATACAAAATATATAAACTTTAATCAAGTAACAAAGTATTAATCATTTATAGTAAGTTACTAACAACACTATTTCCAATGGTAACTAGCAAAAGAAAAAACTATACAATTTGTCGAACACTTGGGGTGCAACCGGATTTTCAGAATTTTTCCTTTGATTTGTGTTGATGTAAAAAACCACTTATAATAAAAACTGGTTATAAGCAAATCAATACTCAATTAAAAACGAAAACAGTTACGGAAAAATTATTAAGAGTCAATTGATTACCCAATTCTATTTGACAAATTGATTAATGAAAATTAAAGCAATTAAAGAGATAAGAAAAAGAGACATAAGGATTTGTTTAGGAAGTTCGCCAATCGTCCTCGCTATACCTACGTCTCCCCCAATTCCAATTTTGGAATTAGGATAATTTCTTACTAAGAAAAAATTTGTTACAAGAGAAATGTTCCAAGAGCAACTCCATAAACCCTAACTGTTTGTTGTTGATTTAACCATTTCTCTTCTTTTGATCTTGAGAAAGACCAAGACATAATAGCTACCAATTGATTTATCGAATCTAGCTACTCCTTTGTGTTATTTATCTCCAAAGCATTCGCGCACGAGAATGTACCTATTCCACACAAGACACTTCAATTCGATTCGTTGTTCTCGCGCTACTTCCTTTTTGTTCTCTATCTCCAAAGGCTTTCACCAAACTGTAATCCTCTCTTAAATTTCTTGCACGAAAACCCAAAAATCTATCAACGCTATTGGAGGACAAACTTATGGTTTTTCTGGATGAAACCCGCTGCAAATCTCAACCCAATATTCTCGACTACACAAGAACCTAATTGGACATTATCAAACTTTGCCTAAATG